TGCTCCTCAAATATGACCTTTAAGGCCTTCGTTGCTTTGCACACACATTGCATGTCCCAAGGGTCCATAATTAAGTAGGTCACATGCTTCATATGGCATATTAGTACTTGCCTTTCAACATGCATTTCCCCTGTTCTACTGTGGGAAAATTCCCTTTTTCCTAAGACATTCTTGCACCAGCTCTTGGCACTTTCCATAGAAGAAATGTCCTTGGTATATTGTGGGAACACTTAAGGTCATTTGGGATTTTATCGGTCGTGAGAATAATTGGCCTCATGTTTTCTAAAGAGCAGAGTCCACTCATACTAATTGTAGTATTGCCTGAGGCTTGTACATCTAGGGGCATAAAAGAACTCTCATGGATCAGTTGTGGATGTACCCTTCGCCAATTAAAGTATGTCAATAATTTGTGAATGATGCTATCCATAAAATGTCACAACAAAAAAAAATTAAAAAAAAATCTTGATAATCTTTGACATTAATAAATTGTCTTGTATAAATGCATATGTACCTGGTGGAGTTTCTATTAATTCCTCTTGGAAATGGTATTTACTATGCACGCTGTAGGATTTTCCAATCAAATACATAAATATGCATGCTTATTTATGCTTAAGATAATTTTGCTTTCATAACTTTAATAACTGAGTGTGAACTTTTAGCAACAAGATAAAATGTCATTTTGCTGACTATAATTATGGAATGGTAAAAGATTTAAAAATATTTAGTACAAGTAGATTTTGAAGAGAATCAGGATTACCAGCTCTCCTTCTCCAACTCCACGATCACAGTCTTTAATCCTTTGAAAATCAAGTAAATTTTCCCTAAGAAATCAACTAGTGTAACCCTACACAAAGCATTTGTGTCCTAATTAATAGGCCTATTTAATTCATTAAGTTGGATTGCAGGACTAGTGACTTGCCCCTTTTAGTGATGCTAATAAAGAGATATCAACAAAACGCAATTGTTTTCACATGATAATCGTGTTAAGAAATTAATAGGAGATAAAACAGTGGCAAAGAAGACAAAGCCCTACAGAACAGTGACTCTCAGATTCAACGTCTCTATGAATCACCCGGTGAACATGTTGAAACATGGATTCTGATTCAATCACTCTTGGGTGGAGCCTGAGATTCTTCCTTTCTAACAAACTCTTAGGAGATGCCCAAAAACCATGTTTTGAATGGCAAGTTTATAGACCATCACGGAATGGCAGTTCACTATTTGTATAGGTACTATGGATTGGCCCATATTTCCATGGCACCACTCAGGGCTGAGCTGTCTCCTTTTGTTGTACCTAAAGAAATTAGAGCAGTGCACTGGGATGTAAAATGTACCTTCTGGATTAAAAGTTTGCCGTGTCTCCCTTTTATTCCCTGCTAGAACTGAACCACAGCTATTGACTTTAGAAAGAACAGTGCTGATCTTACACTGAAATATGTTGATGGGTGATGGCGCCAGGGGAATGTGTGGGCCTCATTGTCCTACAGATGTCATCAAAAAAAGTAATTTGCTTGGAGGAGGGTGGGGGGGGGGCGCTATGCAGACTCTGTATGTTTGTGTGTATGATTGTGTGTGCCCAAGTGTGGACTTTCATTCCTAGTTCAGCGGAAACATACTGAATGGGCTTATTACTTTCATTTTTCTCCTAGAACGTGGACTGAAGCTTTCATTTCCAATCTTACTGGATACAAAGACCTCCTTTTTATTTTAAATTGAAGTATAGTCAGGCGCCTGGGTGGCTCAGTCAGTTAAGTGTCTCACTTTGGCTCAGGTCATGATCTCACGGCCTGCATTGGGCTCTGTGCTGACAGCTCAGTGCCTGGAGCCTGCTAACGATTCTGTGTGTCCCTCTCTCTCTACCCTTCTCTGTCTCTGCCCGTGCTCTGTCTCTGTCTCTCAAAAATGAATAAATGTTAAAAAAGTTTAAAAAATTGAAATATAGTTGCCACAGGTATTTCAGGTGTGCAGCATAGTGACTGAACAACTCTGTTCCTTACCCTGTGCCATGACAGGGTAGCTACCAAGACCTCCTTTGTAATACAAAATATATCAAATAATTTTATTATCCAGCTGAAAATTCATAACCAAAACATTTGAATTGGATTTGTCCTTAATTTTAAGATTATCTACATAAATTTGGGGCAACTCCACTCCCCCCCCCAAAAAAAAAACCCAAATGAAAGCAGAATACCTCTGAGAGACATAATGTTCATTCAACCCACAGACAATAGTTTCTCTGCAGCCATGGTTTTGGTGACAATTAAGATGATCTGGTTGATGAAACTCTCATTTCACTATACCACATTCAGATCTGCTTCTGTTTTGTTCTCCAGGATGACTGATTTCTTATAAAGAATAGAAAGTCAAGAAAGACTGGAGATGATGAACTTACATAAAATCCAGAAGAACTTGAAGGCTACAGAAAATTTATATATATATATGTATACATGTATACATGTGTATATGTATATATATATGTATGTATATATATATTCTTTCCTTTAAAAATTTTTTAAGTATAGTTGACACACAGTTAAGTTAGTTACATTAAAAAAAATTTTTATATATATGTGTATATATATACATATATATATATATATTCCTTCCTTTAAAAAAAATTTGTAAGTATAGTTGACACACAATGTTACGTTAGTTTCCAGTGTACAATGTAGTGATTCAACTTCTCTATACTATTCTCTCTACGAGTATAGCTACCATCTGTCACCATACAAAGCTATTACATTATCATTGACTATATTCCCTAAGCTGTGCCTTTTATTCCTGTGACTTATTCATTCCAGTCTCTGTACAGAAAATTAATATGTAAAGTAAGATGCAAGGAATGTTTAACTTTTCTTTAACATAATAAAAGATGAGCAATGACAGAAAATGAAGATTCTGTTTCAAATGTTCTTATGAATACTTCAAAGTATTTTTTTTTTTTGCTTCTATTATCTTTGGGTGATATTTCCTTATAGATAAATCAGCAAAGCTAAACAGTAATATGTAAGGCTTATCACCAAGATTCTGCTAACAACAGAGATTTCCATGTTTTAAAATAACAAATCAGTTTTCAACCTGTGATGTGTTCTCCATAACCAATTTCCTTTTCCTCATAGCAACTTGCCTACCTTTTTCACCCTCCACTGTTACTTGTGGCTATGTGACTGAGTTCTGATTAATAGAACGTTGGAAGAAATGTGTTCCTTCTCTAAGCCTGTCATTAAAAACTCCCCTGCAAGTCTGTGTGTGGTCTGTCCCCTATTTTGACTGGTTGCAGGGGGAAGAGCACTGAGAGAAGGGAAGAGCCACAAGCCGGAAAGAGCCTTCATCCGTGATTGACCATTTCAAAGGTGATCTGAAAAAGAAATTCAACATGGGACCCTAAAGTTAGAGAAAACTAAACTTCTAGTGTTTGGAGGCATTATCCACTTTGGATTTATTTGCAACGCATTAAGCCTACTCTCAAAAGCACAAATGGAAACTGGGAAATTGAGTCTAGCTTTGATGTCCATATTGGGGAAAAGAATTGGGTCTTCATCTTTGAATATTTGGTGAACTGCCTTGTGTTATAAGATGCCCCATAAACATCTGCTGAAAAGATTTGAATTCGGTACTACTCTATATGTCCTGTTCCTTTTCCTGAGCCAGGGACCCAGAGGTGACCACGGTCTACGAGCCCACGTTGCACTCAGACCTGTATTCAGGAACAATTAGGGCTATTCCACTTTTAAAACTCTTCTCAGGTGTACTTTGCCTAAATCTGTTGCAAAAGAACTTTTGCATGAGTGGTTTCACCTGTCAGTATTTCTGTTTTTGAATGACTTTCTTTTGTCTTAATCTAAAAGATACTTTTATTTAGCAGTAAGGAAAGGCTAACCTCACTTATTTGGAAATAATGTCTGTTTATTGGCTAGAAAGGAAGAGAAAAGGATTCCTTGTTTCGTAAAATACATATTGGGCTTAGTTCTAATCTCCAAGGAGTTCTCACTTTCTGGGAGTAGAGGGGAAATTATCTTCTATGATTATTTCTAAAATCTTCTCTTCATACTAAAAAAGTGATGATAACGGCCTGACGCCTTCTGTTTCTTGGGGGACTACCCTCTAGCCATGGTGTGCTATCTATAGGAGATCTGTTTTTTTGAAGATATTTTTTTATACATCAAAATAGTGATGTGCCCAGTTTTCAAAAAAATATTTCAGCACCTAATGAATTGCATTAGGTACCTAAGTATACTATATTAAGTACCTAAATACCTAAGTATTGTCTACTTAACAGAAATGCCTCCTGCTTTTTATAAACCTGTTCTTTGGACAGAAACAGAAGCCACTAACGTGGACTTAAAAATAACACAGTAAAGCATACAAGTGTCAAACATAGGATAGATGGCAGCATTTGAAAGGAAAAAATATCTTTTGTGTGGGAGGATGGGAAGCACACTCAGAAAACTTGCCAAAGAAGAGAAGATACATGCGTTGTTTCGCCTTCGTATCACTCTTAAAAGATTCTTATGCCAGATCTCTAAAACTGTGAGAAAATACATTTCTGTTGGTATAAGCCCTCACGTTTGCGGTAGTTTGTTATGATAGCCATATGAGCTAATATATTTCCCGTACTGTAATAAAACTCCTGGAGGGTAGACACTGTGTTTTGTTCATTGCTGCAGTTTTCGAAGTATAGAACAGTGCCTGGCATGAAGCAAGTGCTCAATAAATACTTGTTGAATGAATGAGTGAGAAGAAATAAGGAAATGTATCTCCCGCTTATTCAAAAGATGTGATTTCCCTTTAAAATAGATTTAATAGTCCTCTCTCCCTCTCTCTCTCAAAAATAAATAAACATTAAAAAAGGGGGGGGGGGCAGGGCGCCTGGGTGGCTCTGTTGGCTAGGCGTCCGACTTAGGCTCAGGTCATGATCTCGCCGTCTGTGGGTTCAAGCCCCATGAGGGACTCGGCTGACAGCTCAGAGCCTGGAGCCTGCTTCGGATTCTGTTTCCCTCCTCTCTGCCCCTCCCCCACTCATACTCTGTCTCTCTCTCTCTCTCAAAAATAAACATTAAAATTTGTAAATAGATTTAATAGCCATTATGAAATTGCTCCAGAGAACCATTTTCTGGTTTGTTCTCATTCTGAGACAGTAGTGTGTAGAGGTTAAGAGCTCTGAACTTGGACAGACTTGGATTTAAACTCTGACCATGGAATCACTGGCAAGCGTGAAATTGAACAAATTAATGAATATTCCTAAGCCATAATTTCTGCATAAGACTGTTGGGACTATTGTACTATTCCTAGCGTAGTACTTGACCATGTAAGCATAGAGTAAATAGTGAATCACTATTATAGTATTAATTATAATTAGTTGGAATTAATAGGGAATAAACTAAAATTTTATACACTCAAGTATCTTTTAATTTTCAGTTGCTTTAAAATGGCATCCATCTACTATAACATTTCTTTACTAAGAATTTCAGTCAAGTAAACTCTTTCTAACCAGAAAATTGCCTACTATGGTATTTGCAGATCTATCTCTGTGTACCATGTATAAACCATGATGATGTATTAAATATGTGCAGGTTGCTGGGAGTTCCAACTTGCACAATGAACTCGGCCCCTTCTGCCTGGCCTGCCTCACCCACCGTCTCAAGGTCACTGGACAAGCAACGGGCCTTTTGCTTCTCAGTCCTTCGGCTGACTGGGCACAACGTGATCTGTCAGTTTTACTACGTCACGGAAACAAATTATCTTTGTGCTATTTACGTTGTGATTTAGTGCCTAAATATCATATTCTGATATTGTGTGTCACTCAGGGACACAACATTTCAAAAGCATAAGTATTAATTTGCATAAATTAGCATAACATTGAAACACAGATGAAAATTCTTGAGCTACTCCATCACCACTGCAAATAAAATAAAATACAATACAATAAAATAAAATAAAATAAAAATGAAGGAAGATCTTTAAGAATATGAGGAAGTGTTTAGATAATAAAGTTGAGGAGTAGTGCTAAAGAAGGAGGCAAGGAATGTATGTTTTTAGAAGGCAAGACAAGTGTTCTTAATCCAGGTTTATTATTTTTTTCATTGAACATAAAAATATTTATTGGACTTCAATAAATTCATTCTCAACCTCAATCCCTTTAATTTTCTGCTAGGGTATTATATTTCTCAACTGTGAGGTAAAATACTTTTGGGGTTTGGAGACAGAATATGTACTATTTATTGTATAAAAATCTCAACTCCTCACACTGCTGGAAATCTTGCAAACTGTACCTTCCTACTCCAGGCGGTGCCACAACAGTTTCCTTTCTGTTCCTCGAAAACAAAGCTGAGGAGCATAGCTGTTTCTTTGGCCTAGGAATGAACTTTCCCTCGTCTTTATATGGCTGGTTTCTTTCGAGAGGCTTCCTTACATCCCTGCTTGCACATCGTCCTGGTTTTATTCTTTGCCCAGCATTGATATTTTTCTCGGTGTGTGTGTGTGTGTGTGTGTGTGTGTGTGTTTGGCCATTCATGGACGAACTGATCATCTCCTATCCCATTAAAAAATAAACCCCGTGAAAACAAGATCTTGTTTATTTTGTTTGCTGCTGTATATCCAGTGCCTAGAACAGTTCTTAGTATAACCTATTCGATGCTAGTAAATACATATTAAACGTAATCAAGGCAATAGCTTCCTATTCATTAATTTTATTGTTAGTTTCTCTTCTCAGTCCTGGATGTTTCAAGTTCTGATTTCCAAATTTTAAACTGAGGCTGAGATATTACAAATCCTGACTTCTGGAACTACGTAATAATGTTTACATTAGCATGGGATAGTAGGCACTGAATACTAATACATAGAGATGTTGGCTATTAAGGTCCATGAGGGGTATGTCGGAAAGCACTGGGCTAGGGGATTCAGTAATGTGAATATTCTCTTATTACTAGAATTTCTTCTACCCTGGCATTCTTTGGGGAAAGAACCTGCGGAGAAACACAGACGGACAAAAGGCAAGGACAGCTTTATTATGAGTGGTTCTGGTACCTCAGATCGCAGCGCAGAGCTGTTGACAAAATGCACTAGAGCAGGAGGCTCAGGCCCGTGGCCTGAGATGTGTGATGGGAGGCAGCACCATTTGATAGTTTTCTCTCCCCCAGGTGCAGATAAACATCTCGGAATCTTATCACTCTCTGGCCAACGAGACACAAATGATGGCAAAGGTCTGAAGCAGCAGAGATGGCTATTGGTTCAACTTCTTCTGTAAGAGAGAGGCCCTTTGCTCTTTTACTGGTCTAGACACATGGATTTAGTAAAAAGAACAGCACGCAGTGGATATATCCCTATCTAAATTGTGGTGCAGAGTCTTAAAAAGTTAAACATACATTTACCAGATGACCTAGTGATCCCGCTCCTAGGAATTTGCCCCAGATAAATAAAACCACGTGTTCACACAAAGACTTGTATTTGAGTGTTCCGAGCAGATTTATTCATAATAGCTAAAAACTAAAATCAAGAAAATGTTTGGTGTTGGTAAATGGGTAAACAAATTGTAGTGTATCTATATAATAAAACACTAGCAATAAAAACTCCACTGATATATAGAATATCATGAATGAATCTTAAAAACATTACATTGAATAAAAGAAGCCAAGCCAAAAAAAAAAAAAAAAAATGACATGCTGTCTGATTTCATTTTGTAATATTCTAAAAAAAAAAAACTGTAGTGACAGAAAGTAGAGTATTTGTCATCAGGAGCTGAGGAGCTGAGAGAGGGTTGGGAGGAAGGGGAATGTTTGCACAAGGGCATGTGTGATTTTTGGAGTTATGAGAAATATTCACAATAGTGGTCATGTGCACACAACAGTATATGTTTGTCAAAGCTCATCAAAATGTGCACTTAAAACTGGTGAATTGTATTTTATATTAAGCATACTTCAAAAGGCTGGTTAAGTATACATTTATATCTAAATTAAAAAATATATATGTAACATAAATATATAACCCTATAATACTCTGGAATCTGATACGAAGACATTAGTATTTCTTCCTTTTGAAGAGATGGGGAGAAGGAGGAAGAAGGTACATTTTTGGTTCCCATTTAAAAGAACAGCCTCTGGGGCATGTTCTAGCAAGATTACATTGGGTGACATATTTTCTGTTTCACTCGACATGGTTCTGAATGGTTCTTCTCATTTCACATTTTGGAATTACAGATTCTTCTTTGTGTTCTTCAGTGGCATGGTTTATGACTGGCATTTTTTTTTTCAGTAGGACTGGGGGATGGGCAGGGGGCATTGAGAGAAGGAGTGAATTGCTACAGAGTTATGTAGTTTCTATGAAACAGGAAATGGATAGTTAAGAATCTTCATGTTTGTTCATGTGTGGATAAGGTGTGATTTGAACTTGCTATGCTTTGGCCTGATGTATCTCTTATACATTTAGAGTGACCCCATCACGAACCCTTCATTTTCACAGAAGTCCAGATATATGGTGATCTGAGTAGAGCCTGTGTTTTATCCCAAGGATTGTAGGAGTGTCCCTTTGACTTACACCTCTAAGTTGGGCATTTCCATTATTGAATTTCATTAGGGTATGCTTTTAAAAGATATTATTTTAGGTCTTTGAGCAAAGTTTGCTTGAGTTTTGACTTCAACCTGACTAAAGAACTTAATAATAGATAACAAAGGACAAAATCAGGTTCTGCCTCTTAAATTTATTTTTTGTACTATGTTTCTCTTTAACTCTCCCTGTTAAATATTTGTACCTAACTTAAATTAAATAGTTGAAAATCTGACAGGGTGAAAGAACAAGTAAAAGTCAATCCACAGTAGATATGTGGTACTTAGGTCAGACCTTCTCCGGGGCATTAAGTACCCCTCTCAGGTCCTGGTGAGTATTCATTCTCCAAAACAAGGTTTGTCACCCTAGATTTACTGTAGCAGACAAAGGTATGGCCATTTGAAACCGGAGATATCTTCAACTAAATAAGTCAGGCTTACAGTATCCACCTCCTCAGTAAAGGAAGAAATGAGAAGACTCATAGCCTCTTCAGTTTTCTTTTGTAGGTTACAAAATTCCAAACATGTGGGAAATTATTTTCGTGTTTGTGATTCTTGATTTTGAAAAATGAAAATTTTTCCTTTTAAGGCTTAACTTCGTATGGAGGAATATTATTCCTAGTCCCAATTTGCTTAATTTAAAGGGAAAACAGCTATTTCTAACCACTGCTAAATCCCAGAAGGCTTCCAGGATTCGACCGCACCCAGTCCAAACTCTATCCAAGCCAGGCCGCTTCTGCCATCTAGTGACCATCTTACTAAACTACATGGGCAGGGCATCACCTAGTCTGGTCTGTTCAAAGGCAAGATTTTTAATTGAGTCATGTGATTTGTTTTGGCCTTCACGACCTTTCATTCCTATCTACTATCTGTGTGACCGTGAGAAAATTATTTGTTATTTCTGTGACTCAGTTTATTCATCTGTAGAATGGGAATAAAGACCCACCTCTTAGAGTTTTCATGAGGCTCATATGATACGGAAAATGCCTAGCAGAGTGCTTAGCACAAGCAAATCCTGGATAAAGATTTGATGTCATTGTACTTATAACTATGCAAGTCCAGATCTAAGAAATAGGCCAATGCATGGAAAATCAGTTATGATATATTAAATATTTCAGAATAAATTAAGTATATAATATCTAAAGCTTGGAAGAAGATCAAGTTTATTTAGGCTTTTCGCATGCACTGCCAACAAATGCATTATTGCACTTGCCTCATTCCAAGTCTTTCCCCACTTCATATTGAATGTTCCCATCACAGCAGACAACTCATTACTCTGCATACATTTTAAAGCCTTTCTTCCTTTTCCTGAAATATTCTCCCTCACATTTTTACATTTCACAGCCCTGAACTCCCAACTCAAATGTCAGCTTCCCATACACCCTCCTCCAGAGCTGTCAGGTGGAGTTAAACGCCATGTAGCCTTTAATCTCGTTATTAGAGCATCTGACGCAGACAGGCTGCACTGGAGATAAGTGGGAATCAGGTGTGTGTAG